GCGGGCCCGGACCGGCACCGCGCCCCCCGGCTCCCGGCCCCGCGCCCAGCCCGGCCCCCTACACCATGCCCCCGGCCCCGGACAAAGAGGCCCCGGCCGAGCCTCCCGATTTTCCCGGACATGCCCGGCTTTTGGGGATTTCCCCCCGGACGGGGATTTGAGCCCCCAAAAGCCGGACATGTCCGGGAAAATCCGGACGTATGGTAACCCTAGTATACTAGAAAAAAATGTGTGTTTGCTAACACAAGTTAAAATCCTAGTGCAGACAAGAAAAGTTGTAGTATTAATGCATGTTAGTTGGTGCAGGTAAATTTTAACTAGCAAATATATTCAAACTGCACCTTGCCTTGTCTACACTAGGATTTTAACATATATTAGTTAATGTGTGTTAAAATCCACTTTTTCTCCTAGTTAAAACAAGGCTTTAGTGTGTGGTGAATGACTCTGTCCAACCAGCCTCCTAGAAAGCAGCCTCTGTCAACTTGAGGCAGCACAATTTATCATTTGTATTATTACTAACAGTAGTAGTACTTATTTAGTACTCTGGTAATAGAGCACTTATCACATAGCAGCTATGTGCCTATTTAGAGGTCTAGCATACAGTAATTACAGAAAACTGTGATAGGAAAAAAAAGAAACAAAAGCTCAACTAAACTTGCATTGGATAAGAATGCAAACGACAGAGTTTTCACCATTGCAGTCCTGGGCTCAGTAATGACTTGACATGCCTTGCAAAGTTCCTGTACGCTTACTTGTGAGAGACCTGTAAAATTAGGACTGTCTGAGGAATTCAACAACATGCCTCATTCTACCAGGGCACAGTTCATTTGTCCTAGTTTTTTCCAGCGTTTGTGCAGCAAGTGATTCCCCTACCTTAACCTGCCCAGGCTTCTAGGAAGCAATTAGATTTTGAAAGTGGCATAAGGAATGGAAAGTTTAAGGCTGCTGTCTCTTTGCAGCACACAGTACTGCAGCCAAGAGTAACTGAGAAGCATTGCATCTTCTAGAAATGCTGGAAATCTAATTCTTAGTTTGTCTGGTTGACTGTATAGCCTGTTTTCAGTGAAACTGGTTGTGTGAAGTGTTCTGTGTGTACACATGGGCATGCTATTTAAACAAAATACTGACTTGTGTGAAAATGAGATGAACTATAAAATGAGGCAGAATCCATCTCTCATGTCACATGAAATTTATGTACACATCAGGTGGTAAACTGTCAGCATTAATGAGGCTGACACTTAACTACAGATTGGGGTAGTAATGTCAGGGCTTTACTATGGAATCTTTATTTTCCTTGGTGAGGTAAATAAATATTACTTCCCCACACCTTTTGTGACAGCTGTGTACCTTGTAAAAATCTATAGGGGGGTTGAAGAATGATTCTGCTTTATAAACAAGAAACTCAAACAAAGGAAAATATTTTGTTTAATAACAAAATAGAGAGGTTCAAAAAAGCCTTTTGCA